GTGAGTATTCTATCTGCTCAGATTCTAGAAAACCAAGTACTGACTCAGTAAATGAGAATGGGTAAACAGTGAAAACCTCTGTTCAAAAAGGCAAGGCTAAAACAATAATGTTCTTTTATGCAAGCTCAAATTTGACAAAAATTCAGTTTTTGTGATAGATCCTGAACATCTTCTAAATTACTTAATGTCATGTTTTAGGCTGATTTTTATAATGGATCCTGAAGTAATATGGTAAAACACCAGGTAGGCTGACAAGATAGGAATTTAAATCTTGACAATCAATGAAATATAAGACCTTGCTTTCACTAAAAGACAAGCATATATTGCAAAGTTTTTAGATACAAATCAAACTCAGAGGATTTAAGAAAAACACCCTTTAGCCCTGAAGTCCCCAACCCCTGGTACTAGTCTCGGCCTGTTAGGAACCAAGCTGCAGAGCTTCCTGCCCCTATCTGTGGAAAAATTGTCTTTCATGAACCTTGGGAACTGGGGGGCCAGACAGCAGGTGAGCAGCAGCAAGCGAGTGAAGCTTCATCTATACAGCCGCTCCCGCATCACCGCATGAGCCCCACCCGCAGTTGGTGGAAAAACCGTCTTCCATGAAACCTGTCCCTGGTGCCAAAAAGGTTAGGGACTGCTGCTTTAGCCCATACAAAGTTAAAAATGTACTCACTGGATATATCCAAGGCTAATGCCTGCAATCCTCTAATTTAGTTTTTATTTTGAAACTTTAATCACAATTACTCACGTAAGTTCATGTAGTTTTCTACTCTTTTCCTGATCTGTAGCTTTCAACTTCTCATGTTCTACTCTTAGACGCTCCTGCTCTAACATCATTTTCTGGTTTTGGCTGAAAGAAAAAAAAATCATAACATGTTATCAACATGATAGTTTTCTGAATTTTGTTGTTAAAATGCTTCAAACTCTTAAATTCTACAATCTCATCTTTCAAATACGCAAGGCCTCCTTTGTTATCCTGTCCCCTATGGGAGACAAGTGGGAGGGGGCCTGATTACATTCAGCCACATAGTATTTTTCATATTTTGGTTTCAAATCATGATTTTATTCTGCTATGTCTTTTACCTTCCTGAATTCTTATCCCTACTTCTACGAGGGAGTAATAAGACCCATGACCCAACCTTCGTCATTTTTGTTGTTTTGTTACTCTCCTCTGGTTCCTACTCAAATTGTCGCAGGCTCCAACTTCTATAAATTCTGTGTACGTGCACGATTACAGAAGTAAGGAAAATGTCTTCTAGATAAATTAACATGACAACTTCCATTTGAAAAAACTTTTAAAACCCAAAATTTTGAATAAAATTTTTCTCAGTTAAGAAACTTTTAAATTAAAGAAGTAAATGATTTGGAGGAGACTGTGCCATCTATTTACAATAACGAGTTGGGTTTTTTTTTCTTTTTAGTGAATATTTAGGTCAAAAGACCTAAGAAAAATTTTTAAAAATTTGACATCAACTTCTAAGTTTTATTCATAAATGAGAAAATTCTTTATTTCCAAGTCAAAAATTGTAATTTCAATGAAAACTACAGGTTTCTCATAAGGACATACTGTCCATCAGTAACCTATTATTTCCTCCTGTCTAAATAATCCATCTTTCTCAGTTTCTAATATCTAAAAGAAAACTACAATACTTACTCTTGAAGATCAGTAATAAGTTTTTCTTTTGCCTCTACTTCATCTCTCAAACTACTGATTTGTTTTTGATGAGTTTCTCTGTGGCTCTGGATCTGTTGTTCAACAGCTTGCTAAAATTTTGAGGGGAAAAGGATATTAAAGCCAGACTAATAAAAATTAATAATAATAGACTAAAGTCACTAGAGTCCAATGCAGCATCATACTTGCCTTAACTTCATTTGCAGTCTGCACCTTATTTAAGTGTTCCTTTTCCATTTCATGCACCTTTTCTGTTTGGGTGAGGAGAGAAAACAGAGGAGTGAAATAAGTCTTAGTTTCCTCATGTAAACCAAGGAGCAAAAGGAGTTTATGAAGTATGGTCCTTAGTACTACTTGACTTTAAATTATCCAAATGTCAAAAAGTAAATCTTGTTCTCTTAGCTCAATGACATGGTGACTAGCACACTTAGTTACATCCCTTGTGTTGATATTAGGGATTCTTTTATGTGTTTTCTTTGCCTAATCCCGGAACAGATGGGATAAGGGCATGGCAGGGAAAGAGACAGCTTCTAAATCCCCTGTGTTAAGATTTACACACACAGCCCCCTTCCTAACTGTGGGAAATTCCCAGAGTGGACATTTTCACACTCAAACACAGTCTTAATATGTTCTGAAGCAACATTAAAATGTATGATTTGTTTACCGTTCCAAGTTATCCATATTCCTACTATTCTCCATCAGTGTGAATGTAAGCTTATTAGAATTACATTAAAATAAGAAAGAATTAATATATAACTCGTAAAGAGTTGGAAGCTAATACCTTGTGCTCGAAGCTGGACTAGCTCTTCACTGAGGGAATCGACAGATTCCTCCAGCTGTCTTTTCTTTTGCTCCACATTCTGAAGGTATTCAGTCAATGACTTGATTTTGGCTTCATGCTTTTGGAAAAAATATACTGATATGAAATGGAAAAAATACCTCATGCACACATTTTGTTAAGAATATCTGAAGGCTAGCAAGGTTTATTGATATATCTAAGTATATGACAAACTTGAAGATATTTAAACCTAAAATATTCAGAAGCCAGATTTAAAATGTTAAACCATTTAATCAATTAAATGGCCATCTGTATAGCTTATACCACTTGCAAACTAAGGCACTGAAGACTTGAAATATGAAATAATATTCTTATAGTTATCTTTAACCAATGTAACCCTCCTCCTCCCTGTGAAATTCCTATCTTGATGAATGGCCTCATTAGTTCATTTGTGAAAGCCAGAAAACTGGTCCCCTGCAGTTTTGCCCATCCTGGAATTCTTCTACAATCTTCAATAGGCAGCACCAGTAACATCTTTCTAGTAAATTTCCATATATAACCCATATACATGTTAGCAAATATAACCGAGTTAAATCATCCAAGTTATTATATTGTAGCTAGATAAGGAAAGGCAACTGACTAAATTAGCCTTTTTATTTTGTTACTCAAAATAACCTACAGAAGCTCATTTTTACGAAAACTCTTATAATAAATAAAATTTATATGTGGGTGGTTGAAAAAAACGAAGAAACTTTGTAATGCAACATACTTGAGAGATACGAAGCTGACACGCTGCTAACTCCTTTTCATTTTCTTCCATTTTTTTGTTGCTCTCAGTTTGTGTACTTTCTAACTGTTTGCAACGTTTCACCATCGTTTTCACTTCTGACTTCATTTTGCTAATGTAGAGCCTTGCAACAGTGAACTCTTCATCTATCATGCCAGTTCCCTCAGGTTGCTGTGAGAAAAAAGTGAAATAAAATTAAAGCCCAAAATGTTCAGAGTGTTTTCCAATTAGACTTTAAAATCTTATAACAAAAATATTTTAATATGACTCAAAATCCACAGGAAGTCTTTATTTTTTCTTTTATTACTCTTTTCAATAACAGGTAAATAAATAGAGCTTACTTTTTGCATTCTCCACTTTTTAAAACATAATGTTAATATATGCCTATAAGGAAAATAAACATAAACCTGAAAAAACAAAACAGATGAATTCTGCCTCTTTCATTAATTTATATTTCCTCCTTACAAGACCCCTTCAGTAAATTCATTATTAATTGTGTAGAAGCTCAGTTTAAAACTTAACAAGTAAAAGGATGTTTATGTGGCAGGGAAAGAATGATTTTTAAGTTCAAACAAGAGGAACAGGCTGGGCGCGGTGGGCTCACGCCTGTAATCCTAGTACTTGGGAGGCTGAGGCGGGCGGATTGTTTGAGCTCAGGAGTTCGAAACCAGCCTGAGCAAGAGCGAGACCCCGTCTCTACTAAAAATAGAAAGAAATTAATCGGACAACTAAAAACACATAGAAAAAGTTAGCCGGGCGTGGTGGCGCATGCCTGTAGTGTCCCAGCTACTCGGGAGGCTGAGGCAGGAGGATCGCTTGAGCCCAGAAGTTTGAGGTTGCTGTGAGCTAGGATGACGCCACGGCACTCTAGCTCGGGCAACACAGTGAGACTCTGTCTCAAAAAAAAAAAAAACAAAAAACAAGAGGAACAGTGGTCACTGTACATGCCTTAACTTTCATAGGTTTCATTACAAAATTCCAGTACAATAATCAGTGTCAAAATTAAGCAGAGCTTGGGAAGAAAGAAAACTGTCTTTGTCTGCAGACGGTATGATTGTTTAAAAAAAACTACTGGAACTAATAAAGCCATTACAGCAAGGTTGCAAGATGTGAGATTAATATACAAAAGTTAACCACTTGCTACATACCAACAACAAACACCTGGAATTCAAAATTAAAAACACAGTGCCAGCCCAGCATGGTGGCTCATGCCTGTAATCCCAGCACTTTGTGGGGCTGAGGTGGGAGGATCACATGAGGCCAGGAGTTCAAGGTTGCAGTGAGTATGATCGTGCCACTGCACTCCAACCTGGGCAACAGAGCGAGACCTTGTCTCAAAAAAACCCTACAAAAAACCCCCAAAAAACACAGTGCCATTTATCTTAGCAGCAAAAAAAAACAAAACAAAAGACAGACATATTTATTTATAAATCTAACATGATATGCACACGATCTACAAGAGGAAACGCCAAAACACTAATGAAAGAATATAATCGCAATCGAGATAGCAGCAACTTATTTTGTGGATATCAATAAACTGATTCTAAAGTTTATACATACAAGCAAAAGACCCTGAATAGCGAACACAATACTAAAGAAGAACAAAGTCGTAGGACCGACATTATACAACTTTAAGACTTATTGTAAAGGCACAATAATCAAGACTGTATAGTATTGGAAAAGAATAGACAAGTCAACAGAACAGAGAGATCAGGAAAAGAGCTACGTAAATATATTCAATTAATTTCTGACAAGGGGGCAAAAGCAATTGAATGGAGAAAGGATAGTCTTTTCAACAAATGGAACAACTGGACAACCACATGCAAAACAATGAATCCTGACACAGACCTTACACCTTTCAGAAACATTAACTCTAAAATGAATCGCAGACCCAAACATAAAATGCAAAACTAAAAAATTTTTAGAAGATAACACAGGAGAAAATCTAGGTGACCTTGGGTTTGGTGATGAGGTTTTAAATACAATACCAAAAACACAATCCATGAATGAAAAAATTGGCAAGGCAGACCTCATTAAAATTAAAAATTTCTGCTTTGCAAAAGACCCTGTTAAGAAAAAAAAGACAAGCAAGCCACAGACTGGGAAAAATATTGCAAGACACTACCTGATAAAGGACTTACATCCAAAACGCACAAAGAATTCTCAAAACTTAACAAGAAGAAAATAACCCAAATACAAATTCAATACGAGATAACACTATACATTAGTAGAACTGCTAAAACAAATAAAAAAACTGTGGCAGGGAAAGAATGCTGACAAGGATGTAGAGCAACAAGAACTCTCATTTGTGGCTGATAGGAATGCAAAATGCTTCTGCTACTTTGAAAGACAGCTTGAGAGGCTCTCACAAAGCTAACACTCCTAGGTATTTTACCCAACTGAATTGGAAATTTATGTCCACGGAAAAACTTACACATGAATGTTTATAGCAGCTTTATTCAAAATTGTCAAAAACTGAAAGTAATCAAGTAGGTGAATGGATAAAATCAATTGTGGTAAACATTCATACAACAGAATATCATTTAGTGATAAAAGAAATGAACTATCAAGCCACAAAAAGACACTGAAGAACCTTAAATGCATATTGTTAAGAGAAAGAAGCTAGTCTAAAAAGGCTACATATTTGTATGATTCCAACTATATAAAATTTTGGACAAAGCGAATCTACAGAGATAGTAGTAAAACCGGCAGCTGCCAGAGGTTCACTGAGTAGGGATAAATAGATAAAGTACAGGGAATATGTTAGGGTGGTAAAACTATTCTAAAAGATACTGTAATAATGAATCTACGATATTATGCATTTTAAAAAATCTATACACCTATAAAACACAAAGAATGAACTGTAATGTAAAAATTAAAAAAAGTGGAGCTCAAACAGTGCTTACTGATGATAGGAAAAGAATTACGTGTAAATGACAAAAATACTGAGCATCTTTTTGTTTTTTTAAATTACCTATTTGCAAGGCTGACTTATTTTGAAAATGTTATAATATTATATTGAAAAAAGCAGTCTAGGAGTCCAGGAACCTGTATTCTATGTCTGGCTCTGCTGCTAACCATAAGCCATTTCCACTCTTTATTTTCTCTATCTTTACCACTTTTCACTTAAATTATGATTATTTGAAAATGAAAGGGAAAGATTTTTCTTAAAAAAGTTGAAAAATCTATAAAGCGAATTTTGAACAATACCTTTCTAGTGCTCAGTGATGTGAAATAAATCTACTTCTCCATCCTAGAAGATTCCCACATCTCTGCATCTCATATTACTTCACCATAATAAACAGGATAGGGCATAATGTTCAGACAGATGGTGTAAGACAGAAAGTCAAGTCACCTGATATTAAAAATTACACTTTTCCTTTGTTTCAATGAGGTGAGTCAACATAACGAAATGACACAGGAGAAGAGTAACAAGAATCCTTGCCTCCATCAACAAACAGCAACTTTCAACAATACATTCGACAAGAAGGAATGTGTGCTCAATATTGGAAACTTTTACTTCATTTCCAACTCCTGTTAAACTGGGCTTCTTAGCAGGCTTTCACTATAAACCCAAGTGTAAGTTTCTTCTCTGTTACTATAATTAGGCTTAAATCAAAAAGGTAAAGTCCAAACAAATAGCTAATGCAACACAGAAACCTTTCATGTTATGTGATGTTTTTGCAGTTAAGAATCTCAGTTTGCGTTTTGGTCTGAATTTTTAAGTCTCCCAGGTCACATGCTTAATGCTATTATGACCAATATTAGTGTCCTTCAAAAGATTATTATAAGAAAAAGGCAAAAAAACAAAGTGTGGCAATATTTTGATAACTGATAACTCTGGAGTTCATTATTCTCTCTACTATTGTATGTTTGAAATTTTTCATGCAAAATTAAAAAAGGAATTAAGTAGTGCTCATCTTTTACCTTTATTTAAACATTTAAAGCAACGACAGGCTAAATCATTTATGAGTTTACTTGCTGAGCTAATCTTCACTGTTGGTACACAATCACATACTTTCATGTATGGTAATTTATTAAGATAATTTCTAAGTGTGAAATCTTTACATTGCAAACAATCAAACAAAGGTTCAATAAATGCTACCTACTGAGTATGTCTATATTGGTGCTCCTTATTCTCACCTTCCCCCCTCATCTATTCAAAATGGAGTTAATATCATCTACCAAACATGGCTGTTGTGAAGATGTGATAACTGGTACGAAGAACTTTGAAAAAAAAAAAAAAGTAGCAAACAAAAGTGCAAGTTGCATACAATTACACTTAATATCTAGTTATCATATTTACCTTTACATCATTATTTCCCACAGCAATTCCTATTTCTGCAAGGTCTTTTAGTAAAGATGCCATCATCTCAGCTGCTCGTTTTTTCTGGTGGTTGGTCATTTCCTTAAGTTTCTGAAGCTCGGCATCTATACTTGCTAATGTTGCCTAACATAACCCAAAATAAAAAGTATATAGTTAAATCTACTAAATAAAAATTCAATTCAAATATTCATAGGCATTTCAAGTTTTTTACCTAGCCCATACAAAACCATGTATTTTCTGCTTTCATTTTCTTGAATTGTCTACTGAGTTCTGGACTAGCTCCCAGCTCGAACTTAAAAAAAAATATTTTAGACCTCAAAGGCTCAAGTAGCCATATTGTATTCCATTAAGAGCAGGCAGCTTGTATTACTCCACGAAATTTTTGAGACTGAATAATGTTTCTGCCTAGAAATGGAAAACTTCAAAATTAATTAAATTTATCATTTATTACTATATTATCATTTATCTTTGGAAGTTGAGTCTGAGATAATTCATGTTAGAACGGAACTGACAGTTTCTAGATGGTTACATGCTTTCTTCATCTACTTTCTATATATTTACTGAAAATCTACTTGATGATAATTATCACTATTTTTCAAACTATGATACAAGCAATTATCCAGGAGCTAATGATCAAAGTAATATTACTGTCTGGGTTTAATTACTATAATTATAAATTTAAAATAACAGCTGGTTTACTAGCTATAAAGTCACCAAATTTTGAAAAGTCCAACTCAATCTGGCCACTTTAAAAATTATTCATTATATCATGGATCAGACACAGGTTGAGCATCCCTAATCCAAAATGCTCCAAAATCTGTAACTTTCTGAATGCTTACATGATGCTCAAAGAAAATGCTCATTGAAACACATTTCAGATTTTGGATTAGAAATACTCAACTATTAAGTGTAACACAAATATTCCAAAATCTGAAATGCTTGGGACCAGAAGATGAATATAAGGGATACTCAACCTGTAGTGCATTTTTAAATGCAACTGATTGACTTTTAGTCATTATCTTTTAGTAAAGGTGCCATCATTCAACTACTCTTTCTTCTGGTGGTTGGTCATTTCCTTAAGTTTCTGAGTATCAGTAGAGTATATGTTCACCCAGGTTAATCTACGATATGATACCAATTATCTTGCAAGTCTAATAATGTAGCATACTTCTACCATAAATGTTTAAATTACCATGCATTTTCTCTAAGAAATGAACAGCAATGCTGTTTAAGCATATAAAAAGATGCTAAACACTAGGAGTTTCTAACTCCTATTACCAATGTAGTGCTCATAGATTTCAGCTCCACAACTGAGACAACAAATGTTAACTATCTTAAAGACTGAAATCAGCTGGGCAAGGTGGTTCACGCCTGTAATCCTAGCACTCTGGGAGGCCAAGGCAGGAGGATCGCTTGAGCTCAGGAGTTCAAGACCAGCCTGAGCAAGAGCGAGACCCTGTCTCTACAAAAAAGAGAAAAATTAGCCGGGCGTGGTGGCATGCACCTGTAGCCCCAGCTACTGGGGAAAGCTGAGGCAGGAGGATCCCTTAAGCCCAGGAGCTTGAGGTTGCAGTGAGCTACGATGACACCACTGCACTCTAGCCTGGGCGACAAAGTGAGAATCTGTCCCCCGCCAAAAAAAAAAAAAAAGACTAAAATCGGTGGCCAAGGACCAACTCACAGAGTTGTAAGAAACTCTTGTTGCTTTTCCAAGCAGCAATTAGGTTTGCTAATAATGCAACTCAGTATGAGTTATAAGTGTCTTGGATCTCCAGGGTATTAAATTTTAACTTGGAGCTAACCGTATTTTGTAGATTAAAAAGGGAAAATGAACTCATCAGGTATAGTAAATCTTTTATGAGTGCTATTTCATACTGCTGACTGCTTTCCTTTATACAAGTGAGCATGGATAGGGAAATAAGCGGTGGCACAGATCCAGAGTGCAAGTCTAGGTATAGATCTGTAAACGAGAAGCTAGCATTAACAACAAAACCACAGGAAGACAGCTCATTCATGATGGTGTTGGAAAAATCATAGCTCTATACTATTTCTGGCATCACTGCTGGTTTACAATCCTTGTCTATAGCAATGATAAAAATCATTGGGTAACCACAAGGAAGATCCTACCACGTTTTGCCAGGAAGGCACTGTTCCAGGTGGTGGGAATAAACAGTAAACAAAACACAAATTATATAAAGTTATACATCCTTATGGCTACTCCAAATAATTCATGTGGTTGATCAAACAACATTTTTATTCTTAGGTTCATGTTTATTAATATACAGTTTGAAAAATCATCTAACTAGAAGGCTGGGTGCGGTGGCTCATGCCTGTAATCCTAGCACTCTGGGAGGCCGAGACAGGCGGATAGTTTGAGCTCAGGAGTTGGAGACCAGCCTGAGCAAGAGTGAGACCTCATCTCCACTAAAAAAAATAGAAAAAAATTAGCTGGACAACTAAAAATATATAGAAAAATTAGCTGGGCATGGTGGCGCATGCTTGTAGTCCCAGTACTTGGGAGGCTGAGGCAGTAGGATCTCTTGAGCCCAGGAGTTTGAGGTTGCTGTAAGCTGACGCCAAGGCACTCTAGCTGGGGCAACAGAGTGACACTCTGTTTCAAAAAAAAAAAAAAAAAAGAAAAAGAAAAATCATCTAACTAGAGATGATCCAACTCAACTTTACTGAGCAAGTAAAGGTAACTTCATTTTTTTCCTTTAACATCAGAAGTAGCAACATCTTTTAAAATAGCATTTAAATTAGATAATTAACAGACCTTTAGGAACTAAAAAGATAACTTGTCTTCCTCCACCTCTAAGGCTTCATATATAGAAGGAATGGAAATTGAGACCCCAGTCCCTGGAGAATTAATACTATCAATCTTGGGCTTATATAGAAAGAAGTAACAAGTAATTTTTAAATTAAGAATATTTGTACTAAAGTATTAAGAATGAAAACAAAACTATATCCTACCGATTTCTGATTCAGTTCATCACTAAGCAATTCATACTCCTTAGTTTTGTCTTCAACTTCCTGAGACTTCTGGTCATAATTCACAGCAAGTTCCTCTAAGGCCTGTAAAACTTCTTTTACTTCTTCTTTAGAGGCATCATTTTCTGCTTGAAGGCGATTCAGCTCAGCTTGCATATTGTCTTGATCCCTTCTGGTAGATGCCAGAAGCTATAAGAAAGAGTAAAATATTTATTTTTATCAAAAGTATACAGGTTTCCAAAAAACATCAATGAAGTTTCACCATTTGCTAAGCACAAACAGAGTGAAATGTGAATACCATTAAGTGTGGCAACATTTACTCAACAGATTTACTGAATGCCTACTATATGCAGGCACAGTGCTGGATGCTGAAAGACAATAAGGAAGTCAAAGACTTTGATTTTTTTTTTTTTGAAGACAGAGTCTCACTCTCACCCCAGCTAGAGTACAGTGGCATCATCATAGCTCACTGCAACCGCAAACTCCTGGGCTCCAGCAATCCTCCTGCCTCAGCCTCCCAAGTAGATATAGGCATCATACACCACCACACCTGGCTAATTTTTCTATTTTTGTGTACAGACAGGGTCCTAATCTTGCTCTGGCTGGTCTCGAACTCCTGACCTCACATGATCCTCCCACTTTGGCGTCCCAGAGTGCTAGGGTTACAGGTGTGAGGCACCGCACCCAGTTAAGACTTTATCTTTGAGGAACCCAAGTCAAAGAGAAGACAGGTACATAAGTAGGTGCAATACAAGATGGAATGTAAGAGCCACACAAGAGGGATGAGACAAAGTGCTTAGTAGTATAAAAAGGAGGATATTTCTGGAGAATATTCATGGAGAAGTTGGTCAGGATAGATTTTAGTCATGTGCAAACTAATGTAATAGAAGAAAATGGCATTCTAGGGCCATGAATGGTGTGTATAGAACCATGAAATTAGAGGTGTAGAAGAGCTGCTTGAAAGTTTAGATTTGTTATGGGCAGGAAGTGATGGCATCTGTGCTATGCCTCAGAAAAACATAAAATCTGCACTGGAGGGAAGCCAAGAGACTGATTAGGAGGATACTCAATCATCCAGGTCAGTGTCTCTTCAGTAGGATATTTGGAAATGGGTGTGAGTGTTATAAATGGGGTGGGATGCTAACAGCATTTAGGAGTAGGGGCTAGGGATGCTAAAGGTTCTATAATGCACAGGACAGAACATAATCATCCAACCCAAAATGTCAACGGTGTCCCTCTGAAAAACAATGGTATTGCTGACGTAAGTATAAACATGGTCTTGTCACGATTAATTTCACTGAAAGTAACTCTTTCCTATTAAAGCTTTATAGTCTTTGTCTCCATTCCCCCACCCCCCAAAAAACCTTAAATAAAGGACTGATTATCCCCATGCTGTGCCCAGAGAGATAAAAATAAGGGTCCAAAGTAGGTGACAAGAAGACAAATGTGGAAGAACTAAGAAAAAATTCTCATTCCCATAGAAACTCATACCCGAAATTATACAATTATTAAAGACAAAGTCAACGGGATTTAGAAACCAGTATTTTCTTTCCTTATAATCCTTTAGACCTACATCTTGGGTTTAAGCAAACACAAACATTTATGTTTTTATATTTCTTTCCTCATATCCATATATAAATACTTTTCATTGAGGGAGGGAGAATCTAAGATTCCTTCAGCCCAAAAATCAATAAAAAATGTTTAGGGGAGAATAAGGTGATATACAGCATTGTACTTCGAAGTAAGTAAATAAAAATTAAAAGTTTTTCTTCCCTTCGGATTAGAAGGAACTCAAATTTCGAAAAGAAACAATCAGGGGCCAGGCATGGTGGCTCACACCTATAATCCCAGCACTCTGGGAGGCTAAGGTAGGAGGATCCCTTGAGACCAGGAGTTTAAGACCAGCCTGAGCAACACAGTGAGACTCCGTCTCTTAAAGGAAAAAAAAAATGTAGCCAGGCATGGTGGTGCGTGACACCCATAGTAGTCCCGGCTGAGGCAGGCTTGAGCTCAGGAGTTCAAGGCTACAGTGAGCTATGATAGCGCCACTGCATTCCAGCGCAAATGACAGAGACCCTGTCTCAAAA